TCTCGCGGCTATGTTTAAAGCAGTGTTTTATATTTCATATGTGCCTTTTAGCAGCATCAAAGCACAAAAAAGCGTGGGTAACTGAGAGTCAGAGTCAGCATGAACATCGCACCAAACATTTATGGACCACCGCTGCATGACAGACATTAAAGGACTCATTTTGATCAAACACACAAACAAACGCATGACAAAACCTGAAACAGCATAAGTAGCAATTAAAAAGGTTTAGAAAGTTCTGACTGCTCACAGAATACGAATTTTAAAAAAGGTATGATATTCAAACCATATAAATAATGAGTGTAATAATGTGTATACTGTTAAATGTTTATCTGGACACCTGTCTCTCCTCGAATTTCAAGCACTTTCCCTTTAAAATCAGCAGCTCTAATCAAGCTGCAGTGCGCGGCCTGAGAACTGAATGAACGCAGTCGGTCTGTGGTCTGATTGATTAACTGGGTTTACAGAAGTGACTTTCTCATCAGATTTTTCATTTTTCATTAGTGTCCTTTATTAGAGTGGGGGGGTGCATAACAAGGCTTTACTCATTACTGAAAACAGTTTCAGAAAAAAACAACACTTCTTTATTCCAATAAAGTCGTGTGGCGTGAGCTTGTTTTGGTGCTCATAAATATGTGAGCTCAGCTGCAGCGACGCTTTAGGTGACTTTCAGCATGAATCTGCATGTGTTTAAAGCCATTTCACTGGACCTGGAACACTGACACCAAATCACTGCAGATTATGCCTGAGCAGCATGTGTGCCGCCTGACATGTCCAGTAAATGCACTGTGTGCCCTTGCTTTTGATTAAAATAAAATAAAAGCCAAAGGACAGAGGGATGCAGAGGAAGAGGAGGACATTTACATAATTACTTTTGTTACATTAACATAAAAGGTCAGGGACACAAAAACATCCACAGAGCATAAAGTGTCCATCCTGGATCTCACCTGAATGCGAATGTATTGTTTCAGCTGGCTTTATCCCTGTATTGTTTTTTATCACATGTAATTTTCATCATTTCCTAATTGTATCCTATATTTTATTGAGTGCTATGAAATATATATATATATATATATATGCACTCATGACCACTTCTTTAACAAGGTTCATTTGTCATTCATTTGTGTTCATTATACTAGCTTTATTATATATATGTAGCTATATATATATATATATATATATATATATATATATAAAACAACCACCCAATCAGTCCAATTTACTGTTAAAATATTTCCCAGACATGTTTTTTTTTAATATACGTGGAATAATTCTCAAGTATTGCCTACCTCCTCTAGACTTCCTGTAGAGAAGCCATATCAAACGTATGGTCGCTGCATTGTCAGTCAAGCAGCATCACCTCCACCACCACCACCACGGGCCAGGTCTTAACTTTGATCTCTGCGCAGAGCAGAAAGGCTCAGCTAAATATCAGCCGCCTGGAAAAGAAAGAAAGAACCTGTTTGTCTTCTGAGCTGATCTCTCTTTGGACCGTTTGTGTGATATATGCTGAGCCTGCAACTTAGGGTGGGGGCTCCGGCATACCAAGAAGGACAAGATGTCCACCTTAGACGTCAGCATTTACCGTCAGAAAGAGTTTCGAAACACGCTCCTACTCTCCTCCAGCAGTAATGTAAATGCCTGCTTCTGGTTGGTTCACTTCTTTTCCAACTCTCAGCTGCAGAGATAAAGGTCTGACTAATGGTGGGAGTTAGAAAACTTCTGACTCAGTTTGGGAGACTGATAAAGCCCATTTCCCGCAGCCTCGCTAAGACAGCTCGTCTTTTTCTAACGCACTCCTACAAAAGCCTTGAAATAAATCTGAACCTCATCTTGGCTAATGTGGCTTAACAGAATGTTCCAGTTGGAATTCATCTAAATCGTACACACATTCAACTACCATCAGCTAATGAATATAAACAGTGTCCGTGCTTTAGATCATTGGTATGTTAGACAGTGTGTTTCAAGGTGGGTCTCCACCTGGGGGCATCAGGGCACTGTGGGAGAAACAAAATGAAGAAAAAACAAGGTGGTGCATGATGTCTAAACTAACTAACTTGGATGAGAAGTAATACAACATGTATAAGTTTAGGGGGATGGAGGAAGTACCATAATGTAAGACTTTGAAAAGTCCTGGTTTGAGACAGTTCTGTTTGAGAAACTTTTTTTTCCAATGCAAAGGTTTCTGAGACATAGAAGTGTCCTCAACAGCAGAAGGTTTTGGGGCTTTTTTTCTTTTTTCCCCTCATTTTCAGGTGTCTGGACCAAGTCCAAGATCACGCCAGCAGACCACCTGACCTTCTGCTGGGGCTCTTTTTTGTGTAGTCACAGGTTTCCAGGGGTCAGAGCACCTGTTAAGGAACCTTCTGTCGAAACAAGAAAACACTACAGGGCAGAAATCAGTAATCAGTTGAAAAGGAGTGCCTTTCTTTTTTCCTTTCTTTTTTTTTTTCTAAAACCTGTGATCTTACACATGGCCACCAGAACCCAACAGAATTCAGCCCACACTTCTGTTGACCTTATTTCAGATGGACACAAACACTGCCTGTAGCTTATAGACCCAAAGCCTGATTTCAAAGGTAGGTGGCATTCCGTAATCCAGACTCTGAGCCAAAAGTACCACAGGAGCAGAGCTTGTTGGCAGGAGTGGAAATGTCAGGAGAGAAGCTGAGATAGTGGCTTGTGGTTAATGTTGTCCTCCTGATAGATCTCCAAATGGACCATTCATCTATTCATTCATTCATTCATTCATTCACCCGCTCACATCACTGGTGTGATGTGATTAAGGCCAGTCCCTAACCATTATGGTCACAGGGATTGGAAACAATCAGTGCTAATTAAGTTTGCTTGTCTAAAAGGAAGACACTCTGAACATTGAGTTTTAGGACGTTAGAAATGCCACATGCAAGACACAGGATCAATACTCTGTGTACTGAGCTTCGAGCTGTATATTGACAAGGGACTGGAAACACGTTTGCTCATCGTGTTGTTCTTTTCCTCTGAGATCCATATCCAAGTGTGACCAAAATGTTTCCTTGGAATAAGGAACAGAGAAACAAAGGATCCTGGGCTGCACTCAACACACACACAGCTCAGTGTTGGACGACAGAGCAACACGTTTCTGACACCACGCACATTGGTTTAGAGACGCTCAAAGGCATCTTTAACGTTTACTGTACCCTGAGATGCAGCACAGTTTAAGGCGGATACATTTTCTGTAGCTCATTATCTATTTATGCCCAGTAACTAACCCACGTCTGCTGTTTGAGTATCGAGCCGACTGATTCAGCCGTGTGCTGAGGTAAGTCAGGGAAACAGCGCGGCAGCAACATTCGTGTTTGTTTACATCTGCACGAGGCCACTTTAGCTGCTGCATAGTTTGCGAAATTGAAGGAAGAAAACATTCATGTACTGTACTATAAAAAAAAGCAGAGAGGCACAGGGAAAACAAGAGCTCTCCGTTACCCAGATGATATTAAAGTTAATCGTCATGTTTTTCTTTAGAAATGTTTTTAAAATAATTGTGCATAACTGCACATACATTGTGTGAATATTACAGCTCAGAAACTATAGTCAATTCTAACACTGAAACTGATAACATTTTATACAGACTTATTTTTATTGTTTATTTTTATTATATTTCTGACATTTTACCTTTAGATTTTTCACAACCAGCTAAATATTTTTGCATCCGGTTTGAAACGTTTTCATCTGATTATTATCATTATAATGCGCCTGTGTGTCTGAGAATATATCTGTACTCCACACCACCAGATAAGACCAGATATTATCAGCACACTGGTTTAATCCCACCCATCCTAGCCACTGCCTTTCAGGTAGCCACGGAGAAAAAGAAAGTAAAACGAAGGAGAGACTGGGGGGGTGCAGGCAATTTTGATGAGAATCAGTGGGGTGCAGCAACAGTGTTTAGATGTCACACAGCATATCAGCAGGAGAGAGGGGAGAGAAAACATGAGGGGATGAAGGAAATGTTCTATTCAGAGGAGTGAGGTGACAGCTGGAGATCTGGACGTCAGTAAAGACGTTTTTTAGGTACAGTGACAGACGCACTGTCAGTTTAAAATACTGTCATTCTGGCTGCAAACGACACATTGACACAAGAAGCATGATTAATGCAGAGTAATCATCAAACTCCACTGTGGGAAATTACAGCAAATATAAACATTTTCTCTTCAGCGCTGTCATTCAAATAAAACCCAATGCCGATTATTATACCTGTAAATAAGTGTCACGTCTGAGGGCTTCTCTGCAGATATAAAAGGTCAGACAGACCCCCAGGAACCTCAACACATCCAAGAGCAAATGTTCCTTGGTATCACAGGACCCTGAAACATTATCATCAGCTACAACTTCAAAACAACAAGTAACCACTGGACTAGCTGATTAACATCACTGCAATTAACTGCCATGATATCTTAACCTGAAACAGTCAAGAAACCTATGTATATAACAACAACAGATGAACCCTGTCACTACCACCAATAATAATAAGCAGACTGAAGATTGTCTTGGGATAATTGTGTTGCATTTTTGACCTTTAAAACTATTTCCAGCTCAAGGTCAATAAAGTATTTCTGATTCTCGGTTAGATTTTTTTTTTTAGCTAATAGGAGTTTTTTTTAGCAGAAATCTTTTAAATTTGTACCCTAATATCAGCCACAAATATCTTAACTGAAACAGAGAGAAGTGATACCTACGAAAAAACCAAGACGGTGAAAATGAGCTCAAATAGAAGAACACAACAACCGCAGCCCAAATGAATCTGAGTCAGTGTTGCTGAACCACAACAGCAGTTATCACCCCTGAGGCTGCTGTGTGTTTCCAGCAAACTCTTATCATCAAACAATGCCAGGCCAGGCTGTGACAGGTTGGAGACCCTTGTTGCTGCTCCCTGACAGACCACATCAGCGACAGTGGGATGAAATAGCACTGGAGCAGATGAAGCATGAACTCAGAAAAACACCGAGCCAAACAACAGACACATTTGCAGGATATGAAATGTGTGCAGCCATTACCAAACCAGGACTGCTCTCCAGCTGAACCTTCTCTTGGTGACCGTTCATTTTTATGACATTAATTTATGGCACTGCTGCACTTATTCAAGTTAATATTAGGGATGTAAAAATGGCACAGGTTGCTCTCTGATTTGACTTAAACTTTGAGTTGATAAAATTGTTGTTTAGCAGCATTTCTACTGGAAAACTATCTCCTAAACACAATTTGTGTGACCCCAAGGTTGAGAAACACTGACCTAATCCTACATGTTATTGAACTGTGGCTTATTTTGGGCTACATCAGTACAATCCTCTGATATTTTTTCCAGCAGCCAAAAGGCTTGTAAAAATTGTGAGTAAAGACTGAAACAGACATTGACAGGGTTATTATTAGTCTTTTAACATGACCAAACCACTGGACGCTCTAGCGATGAATAAAGAACGACTTCACAGTTACTTCTTTATTATTTCATAGGCAGAAAAAGCAAATGTGGTGGCGCACAGTGTCAACACGCATTTGGCTTTTTCTATTTTTCACTCCCGTTCCCATCTTCTCAATTTCAGTCTCGGGAGGGTTATTTTGAGAAATGGCTATGCAAACAGCAAAATTCCCTCCCATCTTTTTGCTGTTGACTCATTCACTTATTCGACCATGAAGCAAATGGACTCGTCCTCTGCAAATGGAACCTTCAGCTCTGAATGATTAATTGTCAAAATGGCTGCTGGAGATCTCTAGCTCCAAGGGCTCTTGGCTTTCTGCGTTCCATTCAGAGGCGTAGACCAGTGAGTGCTTCAAATATATATATACATATATAAAATAATATTTGGTTGACTGAAATGCTTCACCTCATGTGAAATATTTTCAAACAGCTCTACATTAAAACCTGAAATGCTAAGCAAACGTAATCCCACAATATCTTGGGTTAACTGTTATTAACTTTATTATATAGACTTCAACAAAAAAGTAAGTGATTCGCTGTTAACTGGTAAAAAAAAAAAAAAGGATGATCTACACCACATTCGTCTTACAAAAACTACTTCCTGCAGTGTAAGCAAATGACAACCTGTCGATGGACAGTGTACAAGTCAATGGAATTATTAAATATGGGTTCAAAAATGTAATTTGATTGATAACAAAATAATTAGTGTGGTTAAGACATTCATTTTGACTGCCCCAAATTTAAATCTATATAAAAGAGACCATAGTTTGTAACCGAGTTGGAATAATCTGGAAACTAAGTATAATATAATAGAAAACTTCAAAAATCAGCCAGTCACGCCGAGTAAGGACATTGTAAGGACATGCAATCCATACAAATCCAGCGTGATATACTTTCAAGTGTTGGCATTAAATTAAGTCTTACTGGAATTGAAAAGGTCTTGAAAATACTTCAATTTGATTTAGAGAACCTTGGCAGTGCCCT